TACTAAAAACCAACAAATCACACGGCTTTCTATTTAATATAACATTATATATTGCTGCGCTCTGCACTGCAGTGCACACACACCTAAGCCACTCAATTGTTCAATATTTAAAACACTCAAAACATATGCGTAAAAAGAGTGCAATTTTTACGCAATTTTAATGCTAACAAAGACCATTTAAAAAGTTTATTTTTTCAATTTATTTTGGAAAATGCAATATGTGCCTTATCGGAAATTTTAAATATTTCACAAATAATTTAGATTTAGAGTTTTAGGCAATTACGCAAATTGAGCGTATTTTTACGCAATTTGTATACCTGAAATAAAATGATACACATCTCCACAAATTCATGATATTTTTACTTAAAGCTGGGTTATAAAATATTTACTTTAGAAAAATTAGATATTTAAAGTTTTGATTAAGATTCCACAACAAAGCAGTTTCTGAGTTTCACTATATCTGCTCGTGAAGTAGGATAAGGTTGGAATTTAGGAGGTAGGCGGATGAGGATGGGGGTGTAAGGGTAACAGGTATGAGAAATACCATAGTCCTCACTTTTAAAGTGTATTCCCACGTGGACTGATTTTTTAAAGAAAAAATAACCCGCTAAGCATGCTGTCCATAGAGAATAGAATATATATTAGAGGGGAATTTAAAGAATCTCTCGGTATGAATTTTTTCAGTCCCTTTCAGCCTGAAAAGGAAGTTCAAAGTGTACAAATCATGTAAATGTTCACAAATTATATGTAGTAAAGTACATTAATACAGTATGTTCCCTAGACTATTCATTTCAATTTCGAAATTTTTAAATTGTTAAATAAACATTATAATGAATTAGGTGAATAAAAAACATCATTTGATTTTTATTTATAACGGAAAATCATCGTTTGTAAAGTGGAAGGCATAGAGTCTATGTGAAATGATTATTGGTCAATTATGAAACCAGCCTATTTCATAATTTGGTTTTCTTTTACCAATAATTTTAGATTTTCTATAAAATGATATTCCAGGGCCCAACAGGTTATATAGCCTAAATGTGTGAAGTACACCAGAGCCTGAAATTTAAAAGAGTATCGTTGAACAAAACTCCCGAGTTTCCCTCTTGGGGTCTTAACATTCGTGTAGATTTTGATTTAAGAGAATCAAAAAAAATTGAGAATATAAAGAAACTGAATAAAATAATGTTTCATAACAAAAATATTAATATTCTTAAAACTGCCTAACCCCATTCGTGAAACCCGGGTTTTAGAACTAGTTTTCAGAACGATACCCTGTCTTAAGTTTTGGGCTCTGCAGTATGGAAATAGTACAACAAAATGACCGTTTTACACTTTTTTGTAGTAAATTCCACTCTAATATATATTCTATTCTCTATCATGCTGTCCCATCGCTTTAAAACACGGGGAGTGTGTCTTTTGCCTATCGTTGTCAGAGGTCTGCCATGAGTAATCCAGTTTCCATTGTGAGGAGGGTGAAAAACCAGTTTATGGTATTTGATTTAAAGTCTATTGATGTCATTGAAGGCTCTGTTCCCCCTTAAAACCTGTATCAGCGTGTACTTCATCCCTGATGTTTTGAGTTTCTGTATTCATCTTTATTACTATATCTTGTTTGGATTTAGTCACACTTTCCCCTCAGTTGTGGAGAGAAGTGTCCTTGCTATCTAGACTTCTATACAAGTACAACGTACATAGCGTCCTTTCTCTCAACAGGCTTAGAAAGCTCTGCTGACACCCTTCCTCTGGGAGGTTCGGATCAGGGAGTAAGGAATAGAAGGGAGAGACAACTGACGCGGTTCGCCCTACCATATGATTATACATGCTTTGCAGACGGTACTCCATTTTATATCGAGCTGTTTGATTTTTTAGTAGGGCCCCACAGGAAAAATATGTATTGGCTCAATTTTCTTTCTCCAGTTTCGCCAATACATATTTTTCCTGTAGGGCCCTACTAAAGAAACCAAACAGCTCGATATAAAATTTTATATCGAGCTGTTTGGTTTCTATAGTAGGGCCCTACAGGAAAAATATATATTGGCGAAACTGGTGAAAGAAAATTGAGTCAATACATATTTTTCCTGTGGGGCCCTACTAAAAAATCAAACAGCTCGATATAAAATGGAGTNGGCCCCCCTAGCCTGATTAAGGGGGGGTATGCCCTCTTTAAGAAGTCTTCCCCCCCCCCTGTCGGGGGCGGGGGCAAGAAGTGACGAAGTCAACAGTGTTTTGCACTTTAGCAATTCATGAATCCTGACCCTGAGCAAATTTAAGAGCTCTTATTGTAAAATAAAAAAAGATAATTGAAAGTTAGTTTATTGAGCTTAGTTGCAATCGATATAGCACTTAATACACAATTATGGACTTTAAAAGTCACTATAATAAAGCAAAGAGATCTGAAATGGATATTTCTTAACATTTATTTAAAAAACGAAATTGTTTTGAAATATTTGCATAAGACAAGGTTAAAATTGGTTGGTTTAGAAATTAACAAAGGAATTAATGATGAATATTTGTGGGCATTTCATGGGAGTGTTGTAGAGCTTCATGTTGGTGGAGCAGATCATCAGGAACTGGAACAACAGGGCTTACTCCAACCTAGTAGGTAGAGATCGGGGCTTTATCATGCTGGATTTGAGCGATTATGTTGTCTCTGGAATGCATGATAAACTGGGAACCCTCGGGTAAGCACGCCTGTTGCTAGCTGAGTATCTGTATATCATCATGAAGGAGTCAAGTGGCTCCCTGTGTCGGAGCTGTTACTTGCTCAACTCTCCTACTCTGACTGAGGGGCCGGGAGGTGTAGAGGTGTGGGGGGGGAGGGGACGGAGGGCAGGGGTGACATGTGGGCGGAAAAGGATTCATACGTCTTGAAAACAAGCAACGGCATCAGAGTCGGTAAAATCGTCTTCCTTATATTTCGAATTTGTGTTAACAACCATATACACACACACAGACCCCCTTCGTCTCCGAGCCTAACTACTGCCGTAGATCAGAACAGGTTGACAAGGTTCCAAGATGCCTTAATCTTTATTTTTTTCATTATGCTGTTTTTTTTCTGGAAAAGGGAAAGGGGGTTTATTAAAAGTATTTTTTAGATATTTTCACTATCAGTTCTGCCACTTATTATGATATTGCTTTAATACTGTAGTACAACTATCAAATTAATCCTACATGTTCACTGCAAATATTGTGTGATGTGTCATATTAAAAAAAATATTTTTCATGTAAAAACATGAATTTTTAATGAAAGGCATTTCTTGTCAGTCTCTGAGTACAATGTACATATTTGATTTATGGAAAACTAATGAAAATTTATATATATATATATGCAGGGTGGCCAAAACTTTTTTGAAAATATCCATACAAAAATCCGTACATTTTCAGAAGAAATCCGTACAATTTTCGAAAAAAAATCCATACAATCTGTACAATTTTCGAGAAAAAAAATCCGTACAATCCGTACATTTTTTGAAAAAATCTGTGCATTTTTTAAAAAATCCGTACATTTATTTAAAAATCCGTACAATCAGTACAATTTTCGAAAAAAAAATCCCTGCAATCCGTACATTTAAGAAAAATAAAACCATTTTTGAATAGAGAACCAGAAAACAAGAGAACAAGGGAACCAGAGAACCAGAGAACTAGAGAACTAGAAAACTAGAGAACTAGAGAACCAGAGAACTAGAGAACTAGAGAACTAGAGAACTAGAGAACTAGAGAATCAGAGAACTAGAGAACTAGATAATAGAGAACTAGAGAACTAGAGAACTAGAGAACCAGAAAACCAGAGAACCAGAGAACCAGAGAACCAGAGAACCAGAGAACCAGAGAACTAGAGAACTAAAGAGCGTTGATTCTAATTTTTAAAACTGTTTAGATCGGTGTGAATTAGGCCATTTAACAAAAAAACGATTAAGTTATAATTAGAAAGAGTGGAGTGTAGATTTAGGATCTAATATAATCAAAATTAGCGTGGTACAGGGGTTGCACACTCAATTAAAAGAAAGTTAATATTAAACTAAAAACGAAAAGATTTACAGTTAAACGGAAGAAACCTGAGAAGATGTTCTCAGATCTGATAAAGAGACAGATAAATAGATAGATAGATAAACAGACAGACAGATAGACAGATAAATAGACAGAGAAACAGATAGACACATACACATATAGATAAACAGAGAGACAGATAGGATATATAAACATATAGATAAAAAGATAGATAAACTGACATGCAGATAGATATACAGATGGATTGACAGATAGCTAGACAGATAGCTAGAAAGATAGCTAGACATATAGCTAGACATATAGCTAGAAATATAGCTAGACAGATAGCTAGACAGATAGCTAGATAGACAGATAGCTAGACAGTTAGCTAAACAGATATCTAGACAGATAGACAGATAGATAAACATTTTCTCGAATGAACACTTCTGGAACATGTTCTCAAATGAGCACTTCTGGGATCTCGAAAATTATGAATGAATTTTGATTGTCAATTGAAACATTAATCAATCTAATATTATTTAGAATGCAGAAAATAAGTTAAAATAACTTCATTTTGACGAGAATTTTTTAAAAAATGTTCATGAAAAATTTGCTGAAATGAGTGAAAATTTAAAAAAACTGGTGTATTTCCAGGATAAAAATCCGTACAATCCGTACAATTTGAAAAAAATTCCGTACAATCCGTACATTCCGTACAATTTTAGGGTTACAAAATATAAAATTCCGTACAATCCGTACATTTTGGCCACCCTGTATATGTAATTTGTAAATTACTCATTTTTGTGATTTATACCAGAATATTTCTTTTTTTATTTCATATCAGATGTGTTGACTTACTGAATATCCGGTTGGTAAGGTTAGTTTTTATTGTTTAAGTATAACACACATTTTTCTTGCCCCCCCCCCCTAAAAATGTTTAGGGGGGGGGGGGGCCAAAAAAATTTTCGAAATATTTCCCCCTAGCCCCCCCCCTAACCAAATGTCTAGTTGCGCGCCTGCAAGACTTTTACCTTAGGATTCTACCATTTGGCATAATTTCCTTCTGAATGGGTTTCAACTCACTACAGTGGTTCCTAAAAGCAGTTGATTTATAAAGCAAAAGTCATGTATATCTAAATATATCCACAAAGGTATTACAGTCTAAATACAGGGTGATTTACAAATTTTGGTCTTCTGTCTCTTCAATATAAAATTAGTAGAATATCAAAGCAAAAAGTTTAAAAATAAACATAATAGAAAACAATGTAAAAAAGAGAAAGTCCAAATCAAACACAAAAAGCAGTTTGTGAGACTTTTACCTTAGGATTTTACCAGTTTCATTTGGCATAATTTCCTCCTGAATGGGTTTCAACTCACTACAGTGGTTCCTAAAAGCAGTTGATTTATAAAGCAAAAGTCATGTATATCTAAATATATCCACAAAGGTATTACAGTCTAAATACAGGGTGATTTACAAATTTTGGTCTTCTGTCTCTTCAATATAAAATTAGTAGAATCCAATCAACAGGCACGTACACAGGGGAGGGGGCAGTAGTCCTCTTCGCACGGAAAATAGCCCAACCCGGGCTAAAATCCTGTGTACGTGCCTGCCAATCAACGATCCTTGACTTGATGAAACTGATCTTTACCTGCGTCCACAGTGCATGCTGGGCCTTGCAGTCATCTTTTGCTTTAGTATTGTCCAGTCGAATTTGAAGTCATATCCATGGTTCAGGGAGCGGAAAAGGGTTCTAAAATAAAAAGGATAACATTTGTCTTTACAATAACAGAAAGGACAACATTTTACTACATAAGAAACTTTACTATTGCTATTTTGCAAAGTTTCAAAAGCTTTATTTGTTCTAAATTTTGTGGAAGGTGACTCTTTCACAGTTCTTAAAGGAAGAGACACAGGTCATTTCAGAATTCAGCCAGGAAGGTAATTATAAAATATAACTGTAACCTGAAATGCTGCCTGATATCCAAATAAGACGGTTCATCTTCAAACTTTAGTGCACGACAATAGTTTATATACGCAGCAAACTCAGGTGGAAATTCCTTAAATAATTAGAATAATTATTGTTGCTAACTCTCCTAGTGGGGTTTAATGACCCTAGAGTTAAGAGAAATATCCTAGAGAAAGCCTCTAAGTTAAGAAGCAAGGAGGGTTCCCTCTCTCAATTGTTCATTGTTCAGGATCTTACTAAACTTCAAAGGGAGGAGGAGGATGAACTATTTAATGCTGCAAAAGCAAAAAATAGTTCTATGACAGAAGAGGAGAAAAAAAACTTCTTCTGGAAGGGTGTTGGAAGAAAAGGAGAGAGGAGATTGGTAAGAACAACACAGGACCAGAGAACCCGTCCCCCCCGAACCAGAGCCAGGAGGCAATGGGAACCAGGACTCGGCCTTAAACAATGGTTATGAGGCTACAGTTAATGGAAATTTAAGGATTTTATACTCCAACGTTCACTCCATAGTGAATAAAATTAATGAACTATAACAGTCAGTTTCTTTTGATATAAAGCCTGAAATTATTTGTATTTGTGAAACTTGGACAAACAGTGATATTTTAAATTCATTTCTAACTATTGATGGATATTATATTTTAAACCGAGCTGATAGAAAGGACACTTCTAATGGTGTTGGTGGAGGACTTTTGATTTACATAACGGACAATATCAAAGCAATTTTAATACAAGCTGAGTATTTAGAAAATTTTACACAGGTTTGTGCATTTAAAATCAGCCAGCCAGATAATTCCTTTTTGAATATTGCTTTAGTTCAGAGACCTCACAATCTTTATGATAACACAGATGTAAAAGAGAATAATAAAAAACTTTGTGAAATTTTAAGACTTTTTCCCAAACCTTAAATAATTGTTGGAGATTTTAATTATTCTGATATCAACTGGAGTTTGAACACTGGTTCGGCCAAAAGTAAAGAATTTTTGGCCGTAGTTCAGGAAAGCTTTATTTCGCAGCATGTAGACTTTTTAACTCATAAATCTGGAACAATGCCTGATCTAGTGCTTTCAAGCAATTTTAACATTGTTCATTCTACTGAGGACGTTGGAACACTTGGCTCTAGCGACCATGTAATGATTTTAGTTCATGCCAAAATGAAATATTTTGATAAAAGTGAGAAAGTGAAAGTTAGAAATTGGAAACGTGCAGATTTTCAGAAAATGAAGGAAGCTCTATGTGCAATTGATTGGGAGAATGAGTTCAAGGAGAAGGATACAGAGTCCTCCTGGGAAGTGTTCAGAGATAAACTGAACAATCTAGTTGAGGATTCTGCGCCGCTGAAAGTTGTAAAAGGAGGAAACAAACCTCTATGGATGCAGAAAGGAATAATGAAAGTTATTAGGAAAAAGAGAAAACTCTGGAAAACTTACTCCAACACTAAGGAATTTTCAGACTATTTAGCATATAAGCAGGTTGAAAAAACTGTTAAAAATTCTGTTAAAAATGCTAAAAAAAACTTTGAAAAAAAACTTGCTGAAAACTTGAAAAAAAATCCTAAGCTTTTCTATAAATATTTAAACAGTAAACAGTCCAACAGAGATAGCATTGGCCCGCTAAAAGTAAATGATGTTATAATTGACGATGATAAATTAATAGCTGAAAACTTGAATGCCTATTTCTCAAGTGTATTTACTATTGAAGATTTAAAAGATATGCCGAACATTGAACATTTGAAACCTGAAATTAAGATACTTGAGTCGGTAACTTTTACCCCAGAAAATATTAAGCAGAAGTTAAAAAACTGAAACATTTTTCAGCTCCGGGGCCAGATGGATTTAATTCCAGCCTTTTAATAGAACTTTCAGAAGAACTTTGTTATCCATTGTGTTTGTTATTTACAAAGTCTATGAATGAGGGAAAAATCATGTCTTACCAATCTGCCCGAATATTTGGAAAAAGTTTATGAATACATTGATCAAGGACATTCAATTGATGTGATATATTTAGACTTTGCAAAGGCATTTGACAAAGTGCCTCACGCTAGGTTATCTCCCGTACTCCAAGCTCATGGAGTAGCAGGAGAAGCTGTTAAATGGATTAACAACTGGCTCAAAGGGAGACAACAAAGAGTTGTGTTGAATGGAGAAAAGTCAGAATGGCTATCAGTAACTTCAGGAGTACCCCAGGGGTCAGTGATTGGTCCAATCCTTTTCGTTATTTTCATTAATCCATTGGACAGAATAATTGATCAGTTGACTACGATACTGTCCAAATTTGCTGATGACACGAAAGCTGGAAGGGTGGTTAATTGTGAAAATGATAGAGATCTACTGCAGAATGTGATAGATATTCTATTGAAATGGTCTGAGGAATGGTTAATGGTTTTTAATGCCAGTAAGTGCAAAGTGATTCATTTTGGTAAAAATAATCCCAAGTATTCATATACCATGGGAGGTTTTGCTCCAGGAGGAACTGTTCTTGAGTCTTCAAAGGAGGAGAAGGATATAGGAGTTATTATCTCAGATTCTCTTAAACCTTTTTCTCAATGTGCAGTTGCAGCTAGAAAGGCTAACCAGGTTCTGGGACAAATGTCAAGATCATTCCATTACAGGGACAGGTTCACTTGGATCAAATTGTACAAGGTGTATGTTCGACGCCATCTTGAGTATGCAGTGCAAGCATGGTCCCCATGGACACAAGAAGATATTAACCTACTGGAGAATGTGCAATACAGAGCTCTAAGAATGATGGAGGAAAGATTGATTGAGGTTGGTTTGACCTCTCTAGAGGCCAGACGACTTCGTGGTGATTTAAATGATGCGAGACAGCGAATAGACTGACAAGACAATCCAATTGCAGTTTCAATTTAAATGTATGGCAATTCAATTCTAACGTGAGAAAAAAACTCTTTTTCTGTGAGAATGATAAACCCATGGAACAGTGTTGCCAGACTATGTTAAAGAGTCTAAAACCTTAAACATTTTCAAGAACAGTTACGATGATCATGTGAAAAATGTAGAGCATATATAGAGGAAAATATCAAGTTTAAGAATCGCTTTTTATTACCAAAAATGGTATCTAAGCGAAACCAGAACAATATAACAACATAACAAACCTTTTTATCGTATTCATGATTACATTTAATTGAGATTTTTACAGTTAACAGCAATAATTATTAACTATAGATAGAAATATATGGAGAAATGAAATAAAATGATATTTCAATCTTTCTTGAAAATCTTTAAAAAAATAGACCAAGCACAAAAAATATAAGGACCTACTATTGAGGGTTAAAACAGCGTTTTAAAGGGCCCCCCCCCCCCCATTTTACAGTATACATATGGTTAAATTTAATCGTGCTTGAAATTGCACCCCGCGACTGGCGGGTTTCCTGATGCTCTTTCACCATAGTACGTGGTGAAGCGATCCGACTGGCAAACACATATTTGGAACGGGTGAGATCTTGTAGACATGAACCATATAAGCACAACCTTTTTAGGAAAAAGTATCATATTTATTTTCCCCCAAAAATGGAAAAAGTAAAAAGGGAAAAGGGAAAGAGAGAAGGGAAAAGGGAAAGAGGGAAGAGAAATGGGAAAGAGGGAAGGGAAAAGAAGGACAAAGAGGGAGTTTAATTTTTATCTGCTAGTTTTGGTCTACAATGGAAACTAAGTAAAATAATTTTTTGGGGGGGAAAAATATTTTTTTCTCATTTCCCTCGATTGCAATGTCATGTTTTCTCCCTTTTTACAACAAGTCTGCAACTGGAGTTACTTTGCACCTCATGACTGAAAAAAAGAACTTAAAAAAAAATCACAGGAACCTGGTTTTTGACCTTTTCTAGGGCACCAAAACGCTCCATTATTTTTAAGTCGTGGCTTTGAGGGAAAAATTTTTCGAAAAAAAGGGGGGGGGGGGAGGGGAATTACGAGTCTCAGAACTAATATACCCCCCTGTAGATCCTCTACGTAAAAGTTCTTCATGGGTAATAAAACAAATATTTAACAGTGGTCGGCGTTTATATCAATTTAAGGAAGACGATTTTTCTATTTAAGTTTTGATTTCTCAGAAGCTGACATTAAATTCCAATTTTACAAATAAACAAATAGATGCTGTTTAATGTGAGATTTTCATTTTTTTCATGATAAAGTGTATCCATTATGTTAAAAAAAAGTAGAAAGTCGTCTTATTATTGAATTGACATGCACGGCAACGACTGTATCCACTATCCAGGTACATTGCAGAGAACCACAACTGGAGTTGACATTTTTTTTCTAATATCTTCTCATACTTTTGCGCTCTATTGACCCCTCTAAGCCCCTCCCAGGGCAGAGAACCTCTGTTGAAGTACATAAGAACGTACCTTGCAGAGAACCACAACTGGAGTTGACATTTTTTTTTCTAATATCTTCTCATACTTTTGCGCGCTATTGACCCCTCTAAGCCCCTGCCAGGGTAGGGAACCTCTGTTGAAGTACATGAGAACGTATCCCAAACTCTCCATATCATCGCGTCTGCTCTGCTCAATCCCAAGATGCGCGTTGGTGGAGGCGTAGCGCGCAGTTCCGGTCAGGTTCTTGTCTTCCCTAAGATAAGGAAATGTTAATTTTGTTCTTTTTAATGAGTTTGAAAACCCGGCCATTTTCAATCATAGATTTGAAAATTCAAGCGTAGTTTTCTAGAAACACCACAGCTAAATAACCGGTGTTGCCCGTGGAATTAACAAAATAGAATATAAAAAAATCGATTTTATAAAGAAACTAATTAAATTTTATCAGTAATAATTAATTAATAACTTAACAGACCATGTTTTTCACCGGGGGACATGAAGCGCCTTGAATTTCAATTGTGCATCTTAAATTTAAAAGAAAAATGTGGCCACACGTCAAAATGTGTTTTGAATTACAGGATCAAAAAATTGATCTCCATCTTGTTTAGATTTACGGATGACTTTAATCCCTCTTAGATATCCCGTTATAGCCTGCAAGCATAACTTTAACTGAGAGACCAAATTTTAAGTGCCCACATTGGATAATGAGATCAAACATGTGGAATGTTTGGTATACAGTTCCGATCTGAGGATATTTCTCATGATGAAATTAACAAAAAAAAACCATGTGATGCATAACTTAACAACCAACAAGTAATAAATTGTGTATATTCCGTGCAGTGACCAACTGCTTGAGGGTGTTAACTGTATATTTATTTCCTAACACCTATTCAATATTTATTCCACGCTTAGCAAATAGCCTAAAATCAAAACCATTTCATATTTTAGTTTTCAAGCACTGTAAAATTATTTATATATATATTGTGCTTGTGAAATGTGCTTTGTTGAGCGCGCAGTTCCGGTGAGGGGTTTTTCTTCCATACAATTAAAAGTGAAACAGGTGGTTCAGTTTTATTGATATCCACTCGAAGACAAAAAAGGTAAGAAAAACGAAAAAATTTTAAAAAAAGGAAAAGGAGGGAAGAAATCTTTGTTTTAACCAAAAGTAGGTGATACTGGTTATTTTTCTTCAAATTAAAAAAGTTGTCTGCAATGAATGATTCGACAATTTTTATTTGCATTTGAAAATATTAAATTTAAAATCATGTCTGACATGTTAAGAACAGAGAAACTCATATGTTCCATTCTTTTAATAAGATAATGATTCATACTGCAACTATATCTCAGAGCTAAAAGTAACAATAATGGAGACAAATTGGAATTAAAGATAGAATTTCTTTGAACTGATTCTCCCACTTGCAAGTGTCATTTTATAAAATTTGTTTGGAAAGTTTTTACAGGCATTTGAATTATTTTTAGGCTATTTTCTTTGCAATTAGTGAACCAAACTCAACTTAAAATTGAGTCAAAACCAAGCTAAGAACATTAGCGTGGATCTCCCGAGTTCCCCAATCAAAATTTGAAGGAAATTGGTCCAGGGGTTAGGGTTAGGATAGGATGAACAGACAAAACGAGATTACAACGTTATTTATGTTAACTAAATCTCAGTAATTGAAAAAATAAATAGTATAAAAAGCCATGAAATGTTAAGGAACAGTTTTAAGGAGCTCCATATGATTATTTAATCAAAAAACTAAATATTTGCATAATTCCAATCATTCTCGAAATCAACAATATTTTTAAAATTCTTTATATGTATTCGAAGTTCTTAGTTAAACTGTATGAACTGGAAGTGTACCTGTACGGGATATGCTCCCGGGTACTACCTATATACTTCTTTGCTAATCCAAAATCAATGAGATGGAGAATGAAACTTCTTTTCAAACCCATCACAAAGTTTTCTGGTTTTAAATCCCTAAACATAAAAATATAGTGTAGGGTGTAGATGCATGTAATCAGGTCGTTAGAGGTCATGAAAAGGTCAAACACTAGATTTGTTGCTGCAACTGTATTCCCTGGGGTCCAAGCTTTCATTTGATATGCATAAAGTCATAGTTTAAACATTTACAATCTATAGAGGTCATTCAAGGTTGTTATAGGTTGTTAGCGGGCATTAAAAGGTCAAACACTAGATTTGTTGCCGCAACTGTATTCCCTGGGGTCCTAGCTTTCGTTTAATAAGCATGAAGCTATTATTGAAACCTTTTCAATTTGGAGGTCATTGGGGGGTCGTTAAAGGTCATTAGAAGGTCAAACACTGTATTCGTTGCTACTACTGTAATTCCTGGGTTCCTAGCTTTCGTTTGATATGCATGAAGCCAAACATTTTTTTATTTTTTAAGGTCATAGAGGTTGTTAGAGGTCATTAGTGTCCATTTGTTTTTAGGAAAAAATATCACTAATTAGGCGTGCAGCCAAAAAGTTGGAAGATTTAAACCAAAAATGAGTTTAAATGTAATGAGATTTGTTTATTCTTAGATTTTTCACATGAATCTAATCTTTATTTAGTATTTGTTACATTTAGATAAAACTGTGATAAATCAAAACTTATCATAATTATTATAATTATTATTATTATTATTATTATTATCATCATTGCTTACCTGTGAATAAAGTTCTTCTTGTGAACATACTCGATCCTACCGATCATCTGATCAGCCAACATTAGAACAGTCTTCATGGTGAACCTCCTGGAGCAGAAGTTGAAGAGGTCCTCCAGGGAGGGACCGAGCAGGTCCATCACAAGCACATTGTAGTCCCTCTCCTGTCCGTACCAACGTATGTGTGGTATTCCGACTCCACCCTGCAAAGTGGATTAATTATTAATGAAGCCCTAAACTGGAAGACTACTTTCTAGCTCCTAACTAGTCTTCTAGGGTTTCTCTGGGTAGGGACAGGAACAGGGACTATTGGAGAAAACCGAACTCTCTTCCTTGAAACTCCAGCTATCGACTTGCCGACTGAGGCAACGGAGGCACGGGAGACAGAGGTACTGGAGCCAACGTAGGTCTACCTCAGCAAGGGGGGTTCCTGAGCTGTGATAGGGAACTCTGAGAGGACTGGTTTCAATCTATCCACAGACACGGAGTCAGTCTTGTTACCAATCTGGAGTCCCAGAAATCACCAGGTACGGACCTCTGTAGAGAGGAGACAGAGTAGGTTTTGAAGTGTACTCTCTGACAAAACTTGATTTGGCCAGAGGAAACTTGGAGGAACCTGAGCTGGTCCTGAACATGACAGAGCTGAGTTATGATGAGCAGGGGAACTGAAGTATTCTTTATTATCTGTTGGATTTGTCAGAGGTACTCAGGAGAAGGAAGCTCAGTACTATCTAGGAACTCGCATGGAAGAACGATCGGAGCACCAAACACAGATGCAGAGGGAGAAATAGGTGAATCTTCTCTAGGAACCCTTCTATGGCCCAGAAGAACCAGAGGAAGATAATGGAACCAATCGGAAACCTTTCCACAATTCCGTTAGATTGAGGATGGAACGAAGATGTAGGTGAGTAAATTATACCCAGGAACTTGCACAGACCTGACCATACAGAGCTTGTGAACTGAGTTCTACGATCAGAGGTAATTGCAGAGTGAACTCCGAACTAAGGAATCCACGAACGTAGGATGGCTCTTGCACAATCTTTTGCAGTAGTCGAGTGAAGAGGAACTGCCTGCGGCCATCTTGTTAACCTATTAATGATGGTGAAGAGATGTGAAAAACCACTGGACTGAGGGAGAGGACCAACCAGATCCACATGAAGATGAGAAAACCTCCGTCCAGGAACTTGGATGTGATAAACAGGAGATTTCACATGATTCTGGATTTTACTCCATTGACAGTCGAGGCAAGACTGAGTCCAGAGATTCAAGTCCTTTAACAGGAACTCCCAAACAAAACTCTGGGAAAGCAGTCTCCGGGAAGCACGCTTTCCAGGGTGAGAAACTTTGTGTACGGAGTTAAAACTGCTCTTCTCATAGTTTCTGGAACCAGGGGGCAGTGGGTTCCTGTAAAGACATCCCAAAGTAACCCAGGGGACCCGGAGACAGGAACGGAGACAACCTTTAAGGCGGAGGACTAGCAGAGATTCTTGACTTTTGGTTAGGACTGTTGGGGCACTGAAATTTCTGCATATGATATTCCAGGAACTAGTGGAGGAGGAGGTAGAGCAGGAGCAGAAGGAAGAGGTAGAGAGGACACCAAGATATCTGACACCTCCACCACCCCGGACACAATACAATACAATACAATACANATTGTATTGTATTGTATTGTATTGTATTGTATTGTATTGTATTGTATTGTATTGTATTGTATTGTATTGTATTGTATTGTATTGTATTGTATTGTATTGTATTGTATTGTATTGTATTGTATTGTATTGTATTGTATTGTATTGTATTGTATTGTATTGTATTGTATTGTATTGTATTGTATTGTATTGTATTGTATTGTATTGTATTGTATTGTATTGTATTGTATTGTATTGTATTGTATTGTATTGTATTGTATTGTATTGTATTGTATTGTATTGTATTGTATTGTATTGTATTGTATTGTATTGTATTGTATTGTATTGTATTGTATTGTATTGTACTGTACTGTACTGTATTGTATTGTATTGTATTGTATTGTATTGTATTGTATTGTATTGTATTGTATTGTATTTGTATCCAACCTGGAGAATCTTGTAGACCCTGGACTCATACGAAAGCTGAGGATTACGAGCTGTCACACGCTCAAGCTTAACGGCAACCTCCTCCCCGTTAGTGATGTTTATACCTTCAATACAAAAACCACAAATTACATTATTGGTTGATAGGAACTGACAGAAATATTTCTCAAATTTTTTTTTATTTGTTGAAAGTTTAATTTGGTTGATTTTACCTAAATAAATTTCTCCAAAGCTTCCACTTCCAATTGAGCGTACTAACCTGTATCCTCCTACTTCAAAGCCAGACCTAGACAACAAATTATCAAAATAAAACACTACTAGGCTTTATATGATCAAAAAATGGTTTTACCCATATCCATAATATTTAAAGCAAGTATTAGACTATTAGTGATTTTATAAAAAGAAGAAAACATAGCAAAAGATAAATCCAAATAAAGCCTAATTAATAAAAACTATAATAAAAAATTTCAATAACATTTAATTCAATTTCTAGCTCCTTTTCTTATAAAAATAGCTTGTTTACTGCATAACAGAGGCTCGTTCTGCATAAAATGCGTAATTGCGCACGTCACTTTGGCTCAAAGTGTCAAAAAACGGAAACAATTTATTGCTGCTTAGATGCTTACAAAATCAATACCAGAAATCTATTTCTAGTAAAGTACTGATCAGCATGCATGTGGGATGCATCGCATGCTGGATGCATCTTTATGATAACTGATGCATCTTTATGATTATGTTAACTGAACTATATATTAGTTTATATTTTCTGGTTCGGTAAAACGATTTTAAGGCCAAAGTTGAGGTTAATGCAACTGGGCATGATTGATGCATGCTGGCCAATCAAATTGTTCAAAGATATTCTGATGGATGCACACACAATGTACTTTTATAGAACTATGCATTTGATTAAAATATGCAAATATATACAGTGTGACAAAAACCAGTGTTTTATAAACTAATAAACCAATTTGTGTGTTTAAATTCGATTGCATGCTGATTCACATGCAGAATGCATTCTGACCAATATCAATAGCAACTGTTCTATTTCCCGAAATATTAGTTATTTATATAACAGTGATTGCATGCTGATTCACATGCAGAATGCATTCTGACCAATATCAATAGCAACTGTTCTATTTCCCGAAATATTAGTTATTTATATCACAGTGATTGTAAAGTTTCTACACGTCAATAACTATTTCCTTCAGTTGAAAGTAGCCCCTCAGTTCGCCACAGTCACTCATATCCATAGATAAATAAATAAACATAGATAGCTTATGTACGCAAATCACCAAGAATTCTACAGTCCGCGAACTCATACTTCTTCGGGTCAAAGTGTACTTCAATGATAAGCGAGGTGGTTTGGTGTTTTAATGGATTTCATAATAGAGTGTAAAATAACTCCGGGAATGGAACTATTTGAAAAACAATATTTCACTGAGCAATATATCATATTGACGAGAACTGAAGAAGGACATGAGAAGGACTAAACTAACTTAAATTTCTCTCTACAGAACTCATGTACACCACAAGTACTCAATGACATAAGAACAGCCAATGTTCACAACCGACCTAGTTAATCTATATAATAGGAATATCTTTAAAACATCTCTGTACATTTATATCTTTCAAGATGAAAAATGTCGTCTTATACGCAATCTATCTTTATCTATGCTCATATCTCATTTAATCTCAAATTTAATAAATATTTGAAGAAAATTTAACTCGTAAGTTAACAAATATTCCAAGAAAGTGAGAAAAAAAATATTTTTCAAAATTTTTTTTCCCTTTAACATGTCTTTAGCTTATGTCTAATGAAGAAAAGAAAGAAGAACCTTGCAACTTTTTTCTTATTTAGTCAGCCGAAGAAGTTGTGAACTTTTCAGCTAACAAATTCAATAAAAACAATCATGAACTAGTTCGCCTTTACATACAAAATAAAGGGTGAAAACATTATCTTTTTTGACTTTAAAAATTAAATTTAATTATTTTTTTGAAAAAACTTTGAGCCATAGTTTGGCGGCCGGGTGGGGGGGGGGTCACACCTAGGTACGTACAGCTTGCTAATAATATATTTAGGGACCATAGATTAATATAGATTAATTAAAATAACAGATAGGACCCTAGATGTCGTCTCTTCAAGATTTAGATGAAATACCCCTGAGTCAAAAACCAGGAGTTTCGCGCAGTCGGCGCAAACCGAACTCTCTCTTTTCTACTAATTCTACGCCTACTGCTTATTGGGAACGAGTTTTATCCAAATCTTCAAAAGACGCCATCTAGTGTCCTATCTGTTATTCTGATTAATATATGCTAGGGGCTTACGGCTTACCTGGCGGCGGCCATGCTTGTTGTTCACTCTCTCACTTTCTCCGGCCGTATTATTTCAATCTAGCTAGGCATCTGATACCAGACTGTTATAATAAATGATACTGGCGGCCATGCTTGTTGTTCACTCTCTCACTTTCTCCGGCCGTATTATTTCAATCTAGCTAGGCATCTGATACCAGACATATATTTCTGGAAAACTAACTGCTCATTTAAGATTATATGGGGGGGGGGGGCAATATCATTTTCTGCCAGAGTAAAAGGTAGAGCCTGGAATCTGAATGCCATTTTGGACTGACTGAAATCATTTTGAAAGATGCACTGCATCCAAATTATTTGTCTTTTTTTCTAACCTCGACAGGGTTTCCATGCACAAAAACTTTATATTTATTTAGAAAACCCAGCTTTGCCTGAGAACTAAATTTTCCTTATTAAAGTCAACCCACTCAATTATAAATGTTTTAACCAAGCTAAGAAAATATTCCCGTGGTTTTATCAAGTTCTTCAACCAAAATGTGAAGCATATCGTTCAAGGTGTTCCTAAATTAAGATCGAACATACAAACAAACAAACTTTATATTTGTATATTTGTTTCAGGAAAATTTGACCAACTGTTGTTAAAAATACCCTTAACTACATTAAAGAATATGTGTCCATGTTAAGTATAAAAAAATAGCCTTTAATGAAAATCCACAGCTATTGCTATAGTGTACAGTGCAATTGTAGTAATATTTAGCACAATGGTGATTACATTTTGTATTATTCTTCTGATGGATAAATAATAATAATTGATCAGATAAGTTTTCATCCAGCTACAACTCATATTTTTCAAATAGTGCAATTGGAAACTCTATAAGCCTTGAATTAAACAAACATTAGTAGTTTAAGAGAGAAGAAAATACAACGAACGAAAAATTAACAAGGCAAGTTTTCGACATCTTTAGGGTTTTAGTCCAAAGCAAAATTCCTAGAGTTGACCAAGTTATTTTTTCACGCAAAACAGAACTGTCTAATATTATTTTCTAAAAAGATCATGCATTACATGCAGATCGGACACAGGAATACAATTTACTTACATAATATAATATTTTACTGTATAAATTTGATTATAAAAACTTATATAAATAGTTATTTAGATGTAACACAACAACAACTAATGGATACTAGGTTTTAATGATAAAAAGATACTTTGAAGTTTAATGCAATACTGTTACAATAAATGATACTTTAATACAATATTGTTATAACAAATGATACTTTAATACAATATTGTTACAATAAATGATAATTTAAGACAAAATTGTTATGATAAATGATACTGTAATACAATATTGTTACAATAAATGATACTTTAATACAATATTGTTACAATAAATTTGGGATATATTTCACTTGCTGTGAAGACAAATATCTTGAGATACAATGGTAAAAAAAATTAATTAAATCTTAAAGATTGACTTCGGATTTTGAACAATTATCTTTTATCTCTCTGTCCGTTTGAAAGGTAGAATTTTAAAACCCTGTGACATAAAGCAATTACTTACTCGTTATACAATGAACAGTGGTTTAACAGTCAAGCTGCAAACATCTCAGCTTTCTAACTTAAATTTTATATATCTGCAGAACAATAGAAAGCCAGGGGGCCTCTCATATCAGGAGTTCTTTGTTAGCAAATATCTAACAAATCGTGCAGGGTGAATTCTATAGAAATAATTGCTTCAAATATTAAGACCGGTTTATATCTGAACTATATCTATTGTTCAAAAGAAATAAGTAACATGCCAAAATTTTTATTTTTGTCCCCCCTGGACCTTAAATTGCCTATAATTTCTTTTCAGTCTTAATACCCCCTTTGCAGTCAACTGTAGTCCCAATTTAAGGATATTACTGTATAGTTCTTTATTACTCTCTAAAGTCCTAAGTAGTCTCCTGAAAACAAAAATTAGTCCTTTATTCACTTTGCTCTCCCAAACTATCATATACTCTCACATGCCCCCCCCCCCCCCGCCTCCTTTCATGGAGGTTGCGGGAAGACTTGCATATAGCTATAATTGCTTATCAAGTAATTTTAGTAACGACAAATAGCAAGGTTAATTACTAGAAAATAATTTTGATCTAATCTTTAGAAGGAAAACAACCCTTTTTTCAGATGGGTGGCAAGCTATTTACAACAACTGATTTTAACCATGCCCAAAACATCCTAAAGGAATGGACGGAACGAAAAAGCACGCCCTGTGTACGGTACTGAGAAAAAATAGAAAATAGAATATATATTAGAGAGGAATTTAAAGAATCTCTCGGTATGAATTTGTTTAGTCCCTTTCAGCCTGAAAGGGAGTTCAAAGTGTACAAATCATGTAAATGTTCACAAATTATATGCAGTAGAGTACATTAATACAGTATGTTCCCTAGACTATTCATTTCAATTTCAAATTTTTGAAAGCTGTTTAATAAACTTTATGATGAATTAGGTGAATATTAGTCTAGGGAACATACTGTATTAATGTATCGCATATAATTTGTGAACATTTACATGATTTGTACACTTTGAACTCCCTTTCAGGCTGAAAGGGACGAAAAAATTCATACCGAGAGATTCTCTAAATTCCCCTCTAATATATATTCTATTCTCTTTTATGCTTCATTGATCCGGACACCCAAAAAAATTAGTAAAATTAAACAATCCAAGAGTTTCCCCCCCTTTATTGTGAAAAAAAGAGGTCAGTAGGGCCCGGGTAAGGTCACTTAAAAGCGTTCACAGATGTTTTCTTCAGTGCGTTTCTTATTATGATTTATTTATTTCGCTTTTGCCGCTGAATCTTCTATTCAGTCAGGGTTAAGGGTTAGTTTGAGCCATTGAGAAAATCAATGAGAAGTATTCACATTTATTTCAACTGAGGATGGGTGTAGGCAGTGTATGGGGGGCTGTTTAGATTTAAATAAATTAAGTTTGTGTAAATGAAAGTATCAAAATACAGTAGTGCCCTTAAAATTGTGGACTACTGGAACAATTTTAGATTAGACTGATCATGACGACCTGAAACTTTATAAAGACAGATCTCAGTATGAACTCGACTTCCTGACTTGAAAAAGTTCACAAATTGAAAGATTCAGCAAAGGAAAAGGTAAGCAAACAATGAATTTAATAATACAGATCAAAACATGTTCTGGAATTTCTAAGAATCATTGAAATTTGAAGACACATGCTTGCGATAGGTAAATTAATTTTTAAGTATAAGATTTAAAATGGTTTTCACTCCTGTCGCAAGGTCTATCCATGGTCTCCATGGTTAAACACTTTATACAAGAACAGTCAAGCAGATCAGGGCTCAAATTAGCTAATGAAAAATGAAACAATTTCGATGGTTAGTGTAAAGTTATGGGAAACAGTTTATCTTCTTCTTCAAATTTAATCAACTACCTAAGTAATAATTTTGCTAATTTATTTTTTCGTTAATCGACACATTTTAAGCTTTATTTTGACTACCATGTGTTTTTAAAATTATTTTCTGATTTTAATCCTTTAACAATTCTGGCCCTGACAGCCAATTTTCAAATTCAAATTCTGTAGTTAGATTTCTACTCAGAAATTTAGGTCAATTGCGACTTTTCCTGTGAATATTGTTAAAGGGGATATAATGTTTCAAGAAAACAAAGCCTCTACATCGAGATAAGAGAATTACAGAGATCGATTATCAGCCAAAATATGCGATATTTTCCACAGCATGTTCTATTGTTTACAAGTACTGTACACAATCAGCAAACATATGTATTCAAGGATATTTAAGGAACCTTTGGATACGAAACACAAAATCTTCAAAAAAGACTGAATTCATAATTCTTATGTTTCATTTTTTAAATTGGAGTATTTCTTTAAAATTGTAAAACTTAACCCCTGAATAGGTATTATGTTCAACAAGTCGCCGTGAGATGGTACTCTAAAAACCTATCGTTAAAACGTAGCATGTCGTGCTGGGTCAACTTAGGCCTACGTAGCCCACCCGCGCCGGTGTGAAAGGAGATAAGCAGTCTGTGGTCTCTACATATATTCTACAATCTACAGGGTTACCCACGAAGTACGCGACTTCACAGAATTTATACCATCTGTTTCCTTATATTTATGATTTCTTTGCCAGGTCAGTGATTAAGCCATAAGAAGATTGCATTCAAGTAAGAGTACTTACATCCTCAGAATCGTTAAATTAAGAGTTTCATGTCGTCCATAAAGTTTCATCCTATGTGGATACCCTGAATCTCACAGCTAGGATTTTCCTAGCTAAATGTCTTAGTTATACAGGGTTACCGTTATTATTTAAGAAACATATTTTTGGTCTTTGACATATCTCATTTAAGTCAAGTTTATCACTTCCTCCGATTAGAATTAAAGGGACTGTAAAGGAAAAATGAAAGGGGGTGTAGGAAAAAACCTGAGAATTTCAGGTTGTGAACGATACCTATAAGACATCTATCTCGAGAAATTGACATAAAACTGTATCAAAATTATACCAAAACGGACATTTTGTATTAACGTTGTAGTATTAAATGGATCATTTTCAACAAATACGCAACCAATCTGAAAACGCCTATACCCAACAACAATCTGAAAATCTCAGGTTTGCTCCTGTTTTTCCATTTTTAATAGATATAACTCACTAACTGATAATATCATTACCATTTAATCCGTGTCCGTCACCAGTACTTCAGCCAATGGCAATGCAGTATACTGGTCACGTGATTTCCGTCGTGTACCACGTGACATCGGCTAAAGTTATTGTGACGAAATACGGACTAAATGTAATAATATCATCAATTATATCTATTAAAAATTCAAATTGCAAAACAAAAAATTATATTATAAGCAAACCTGAGATTCTCAGGTTCCTGTGGGATATAATCGTTTTCAGATCTGACATATGTCTTATATGTATCGTTTAACTCCTGAGATTCTCAGGTTTTATCCTATACCCCCTTTCATTTTTCCTTTTCCGTCCCTTTAGGGTTAGATATCGAGGACACCTGGGGGGGGGGGGTTGAGATTAAATAAAAAAAAAAATTCCTCAAACTACAATCTTCCTATTTTCTTTCTTTTTGCCAAACCGTAGAAAATTCGATTTTCATATCACAATATTTGCCATGTTTCATATTCTTCCAGAGTAACTCTGTATTAACAAACTCTTCTATCCCCATAGCAGCGTATTCCTCATTGTTCACTTACAGATAAGTAATTACATTCTCAAATAAAAACATGATTTAAAAACAAGTTTCCAACTTCTAAATATATTCAATTTAAGTTGGGAAGTGAGAGATACATGAACCATCTTGATGTTAGGGTATACTGGGAGCGAGGAGGGGAGTGTGGGGGGCAATGGCCCCCCATTTCTAAACTGGATTTATACCCTTTGTTAACACCAATTGTTGAGGCTAATGTACTAAATAAATCAATATATACAGTGGTACACGGAGCCAGTTTGATAATTACTCGTTGAAAGTGAACTTTCTCTCGATTTTAAGGAATCGTAAAAAAAGAAAAAAATCGAGATCACTTGATTCATTGGAGGGGCGAAGGAGAGAAAATTTACTTCTAACAAGAAATGAGAAAAAATGTCAAAATTTGAGACCCCAAGGCGTCAGTGTTATTTGTCTAGGTTATAGTTTTCAAATGATTAAAATATGAAATAGGGATATTACATCAATCCTAGCTATGATAAGGTTAAATATTTAATAATTAATTTTGAAGATTAATTTAATTTGCTTGAAGAACCAACCCCCCTCTAAATCTAAACGGATGTTACGTCAAAAAAGAGACAGAAATACGGGTTTTACAAAAAAAAATTGTTGATAAAGCAATCCCAAGGTTTCTTATTGGCTTGAAACCGTTTTGGAAATGTTACCATAAATCAGACTATAGGATTTAACTGGCCCTTCGAACAGAGGTCCGACAGCTGTAGGATAGAGAGTGGACCGTAGATAGGAACAGGAACATTCTCAACTGTTAACTGGCCCTTGGAACAGAGGTCCGCCAGCAGCAGGGTAGAGAGTGGACCGTAGATAGGAACAGGAACATTCTCAACTGTTAACTGGCCCTTGGAACAGAGGTCCGGCAGCAGCAGGGTAGAGAGTGGACCCTAGAGAGGAACAGGAACAATCTCATCTGTTAAGAAGAGAAGGAGAATCGGGATCCAACCAGATGAAGGTAGTTTACTGGGACAGGGCTAGGGAGGATGTGCTTTAGGTATAAAATGTGGACTTGGAAAAAAGCGAATAGTCAAGAAAGTGGATCATTAGCTAGTGACCAGCAAATCATTGAAAAAAATAATTTGACAAGAAGGAAGGGGGAGGGTGGGTGTAATATTTATCGAGGAACATCTGGAGCTGTTTTGACGAGTCTCGATGAAAGGATCTGGATCGGATAGGATTAAACCAGGTGGCGTGGGTAGAAACGTCCTGAATGGATTCCATGTAATTCCTGAAGAAAAAATTATTTTTAATTTGGAAGTTAAGAAAAAAAGGCGATTTTTTTCAACTAAATGTTGAACCAAGGATCTGTCCTTTATCTTAACAGACCTATGGATCTGTCCTTGATCTTAGAGGAACTTTGGATCGGTCCTTGGATCTTAGAGGACCTTTAGATCTGTCCTTGATCTTAGAGGACCTTTAGATCTGTCCTTGATCTTAGAGAACCTTTAGATCTGTCCTTGATCTTATAGGACCTTTAGATCTGTCCTTGATCTTAGAGGACCTTGGATCTGTCGTTGATCTTAGAGGACCTTGGATCTGTCCTTGATCTTAGAGGACCTTTGGATCTGTCTTTGATCTTTAAAGACCTTTGGATCTGTCCTTGATCTTAGAGGACCTTTGGATCTGTCCTTGACCTTAAAAGACCTTTGGATGTGTCCTTGATCTTAGAAGCCCTTGGATCTGTCCTTGATCTATGAAGCCCTTGGATCTGTTCTTGATCTTAAAAGACCTTTGGATCTGTCCTTGAATCTAGACCTAGGATATATCCTTGAACCTTGAAACTTACCTAGGATCTGTCCTTGATCTTTAAAGGCATTTAGATCCGTCCTTGATCTTAGAGGAACTTTGGATCTGTCCTTGACCTTAAAAGACCTTTGGATCTGTCCCTGAATCTAGACCTAGGATATATCCTTGAACCTTGAACCATACCTAGGATCTGTCCTGGAACCTTGAATCTAGGCCTAGGATATATCCTTGATTCAAAATCTAGGATCTATTCTTGAACCTTGCATTAAAACCTAGGATCTAACCTTTCACCTAAAAGACCTAGTATCCCTCTTTGAACCTAGACCAAGGATCTACCCTTGAACCTAAACCTAGGATGTCTCCAGGCATTTATGTTTCTCTACCTGTGCTGGTTTATCGTGGAGCTTGTCCCGGAGGTCCGGGAACAGGGGCCTGGGATCCTCCAACAGCGGCGCTTGCCGCCGCCTTCTGCTTCAACATTGTCCAGTCGAATGTGTAATCATACTGATGGTTCAGGGTGCGGAAAAGGATTCTGCAATATGAACATTAAGGTTTTGTGGTTGATTTAATTCCAATATCCCTAATACACTCAAGATGGATCATTGAATAAAAAACTTGAAATGATTTTAAGATAGAGAAGGTAATATTGATCACATTACGTTTAATTTGATTACATATTAATTGTTGCTGTAAATATCGCATAGTAAATACAAAATACTTGTGTTAACGGTTTTATCCGGATATTCAATAATTTACTCAGTATTTATTTAACAATTAACTACCCACATAAGCAGTTTAAAAGGGACTGAAAACGTAATTTAATCAGATTCATAGATTCACATGTCCGATTCACACCAACAGTACCCAGTAAACCATATTCGTTGTTTTACTAACTTACTAACACGCGTTAAATTCTAACAATAGTCTTCCTTGCATCTGTAGCATAAATAATCAAGTCACTTAAATAGAATAATATTTTTAAAATTACGTCTTCAGACTTTACTGACGAGCCTGGATCATTAATTACCAAGTCTTCATACAATCCTGTCTTAACCCGTCTCGTCTTAAGCGGTATTTTTATGGCGCAAAGATAAAATGAAGTATAACAGACCTGTAAAGCTGCCTGAGATACATGTAGTCTGGTGCCTCTTCAAACCGTAGTCCACGGCAGTAGTTTAGATACATAGCAAACTCAGCAGGAAACCCCTAAAACAGACTCTAATATGAATACAATTTTTTTTAAATCAGGGAGTGGGGTGCAATCAAAGAGAATAGAATATATAATAGAGGGGAATTAACTAGAAAAAAAGTGTAAAACGGCCATTTTGTTGTACTGTTTCCATACTGCAGGTCCCAACCCCCCGTTATTCTCTTATAAAGAGTATGTATTGTTTGCACCTTCTAGATCAATGCGTAAGTGTGTTTGCTTGCGTGACCAATATTGCGTTAAATGTAATCGGGGCTCCTAGGTTTAATCAATAGTCTTTTAAGAGTAATATATCACTTGAACTCAACTACGACCTCATAAATCTATTGAAATAAAATCAATTCAATGGGGGCAATGTGGGGAGGGAGGGAGGGGGGGTATTATTTTTAACAGTGTATACATTTTCTTGAAATAATCCTTCTTGAAACGCTTTTTTCATGATGAAAATACTATATTGCCGTTATATTTGCTGAATCAGGATAATAAGTAATGTTCAATAAGGGTTAATCCTTTTGATGTTTAACTTTCATGCTAAACAAATGTATCAAAAATCATCCCCCCCCCCCCC